ATAATCACTGGGAGTGTTTCAATTCCATGAATTGATAATGAGTAACAACTTACATCGCCATCAATCCTGCTTAAATCAAGGAACAGAAAATTATACATCCAATATGAGTGATATGGAGTGAACTTTTGTATATCCATAATTTAAGATAGCTTATAACTGTATAATCCACCGTATTCGTTTATCCTTTTGATAATATATAGCAGTGACATGAAACTAGGACAAGAAGAAGAGAATCTTGAAACACTGTTTATATCCAATGACTTTGATGAACATATTGCCATAACTCATGTGAACGTGAGTGTTCAAGATTTTACGAAGGATTAACATAATCTGTTTCCTATCAAATCCATGTGAACCAAATAAAAACAATTGTTTTGTTCCTTAGTTCAGAAATTTCCTGCAGAAATTTCTAATTTCATGGGGACGAATGTAAACCTATGGGCCACGAGACACTTATTTTAATCAAGAAAATAAAATTAGCTTATTTAAATGTACTCATGATAGAGTGCACTGACCCCTAATTCAAGAAGGATACAGAAGTATAAGACTTTTCCGTAAAAGTAAACAAACACGTTAATCGGATTAAGGACTAAATAACATACCAGGATGTTTATCTATCTACGGACATCAATCCAGGAACAATAACTGAACATTATTAAAGTTTATATTAAAGTTATACTTACTTTTGCCTAATACAAGGACACTGACTACCAGTTTACAAAAACTTATGTTAAGATTATAAATTGTTTTGTCAAAATTCCAGGATTTAGACCAATTTATTGAATAACTTGTTTATCGTATATGCAAATGACTATAATGTATTGTACATTATATATACTATCTACGGCGGACTTCGAGATATTCTTAGCTCTAGCGCACTCTCTCGTCGTCATCTAGGCCGCACTTCTCAGAGCGAGGCTCTTCGGAGCAACGTTCTAGGAGGGATCGAGAGACGCTATACGATCACGGGCCGTTTAACGATCTAATTCATTGCTTTTCACCACTATACGATTCACGTTAAATAACTGTTAAATAAACTCTAAAAAACAATTATTTCTTCCTCATTGGTTCACAGAAGCAGATGTTGTAGGAAAAATACATAACCCGCGTAAGCGAGTTATGTAAATTTTTTCTGCAATAGCTGCGACCGTTCATTCCAGTAACAACAAACAAAGTAAGCATTCTATTGTTTATATTTATATCTGTTTAAATAATCAATTAAAGTAGGATTAAAAAGATTATAATTATTGCATTAATGATGCAAACGTCTTTATACGCTTCATTGATGGAACAGCCACTGATTAAGAAATCTGTACAGGCGACCTGCCTGCTGCAGTTTATGCAGTGATGAAATCAATGGGGTTTCTTAAGAAATAAAGGAGAAAATATTCAGTGGATGTAAATATATACTGATGAGAGCCTTTCAACTGCATCAACATGTTTTTACAGTGGCATTTCATTAGACCTTGACCTCACTTTCCCTTAATGAGTGTCAAACTTCATTTGGTGATACATACTGGTGTAATTCAACTGCATTATATTTATTACCTTGACCTTTCTTTTGACCTATACCTCACTTTTTTCAAATTGTGTTTATGTCAGTTTAAAAAAAAAATCATTCATAATATTTTTTTTCTACAGCATAAATACTTATACATACTGATTAGAGCTTTTCGGCTGCATTAACATTTTTGACCTTGGCCTTTCCTTTGACCTCATTTTTTTTTAAAATTAGTGTCAAACTTCATATGTTTATACATACTGATGTAAGCAATTCAACTGCACCACTTTTCAAGATTTTATGATCAAATTTAATACAAATTTTCATGATGCACGCGGCGGGGCATTCATGTCCTACAGACATATTTCTAGTTTTTCTGTTTTTGTTAATCAGGTAGATGGAACAAGACATTGTTTACAAGTTTCGTCATACTAACGTGTTCGTTAAAAGTTCATCCTTCTCGAGAATCAGAAGCAGAGGAGAATTCACGTGTCTCAACAGAGATGATGACGGGTATCACGGGTCTGAGAGAAGTAAAACAAGTGTTTCCTCCCAATTCATCATTGGATTCCAAGGAGAGCAGTGAAACCAATGACTCTATGGCCATTCCGCATTTTAAAGGTACGTCTGGGAATTTCAGTATAATCGAAAAACTGAATGAATGTGTAGAAAATGGATCTCAACTTATTGAATGCTTTCATCTACTGAATATTAGATCGCATTATGTTGATTCATCCCTTGGTGGACTTCTACAGAATTTGTGTTTTAAATCCTTGCTGTCGAGCTATGATGGTCGGGAAAGCTCCGAGAAAACCATCACCTCCAGAGCTGACAAATCCATTTTACTGAAATACGTGGCTTCGGCCTTTTCCGCCTTGGGGATTCTGAGTAACCTGTCAGTGTCAGTGATTCTCCTGTATCCCAAGCTTAGAAAACCATTTTACATGAGTGTTTTAAGTTTAGCTGTGGCAGATATCTTTTATCACATCAATTTCTTTCTCAACAAATTCTTTGTACCTTCAAATATCTGTGAAGTTTTAAAGTTTCAAAACATTTTTCAGATAACCACGTATGGAACGAAAATGTGTTCTTCTTTGAATGTTATGGTACTCTTATCCGTAAGATACGCCAAGTTTGTCCATCCAATAAAAAGCCGTGTCTATCTCACTAATAGAAAAATCTGCGTCATATCCGGCCTCTGTTTGATGTTAAGTATTGTATACGGAGTTGTTATTGTAGAAGTTATATGGTCTCTGAAAATTCCTGATACGTATTTGTTGTACATAGCTGATGATGGTCTCCTCCTCACTGTTATCGTCCTACTTAACATCTATTTTGTCGTAAATCGTTGTAAAACGATGAAATCGTCGCTCGCTGCAAATAATGTGAAGAAGCGGATGATGATTACAGTTTCCTTAATCCTTGCACTGAGAACGGCCAATTCCGTCTTCTCCATAGTTCAGAGTACTGTTGGTGACAGCATTATGGTTCACGATCCTTTTCGTCATACAAGCTTTGATAAGGAGTTATGGTTCGTCAATGTCAGTGAAGTGTTTAAAATTCTCGTTCATTCAGCGAACCCATTTATTTACTTTTTAAGCTCTGTTAATGTTTTAAAAGTAATTTTGTCTTGCTTCCAATGTCATTATTCTTGATATGTAATATAAAGTTTCAGTTATGATTGAATGTATTTTCTGTTTCATGTTATACAAAATAATACTTAACTAATATCTTCGTATTTCTTTTAATAAAGAATCAACTGGAGAAATACAATTCTGACCTATCTTTTTGTAATTTAAAAACTTCTCTTTGTCACCTAGATCATCTGCCTAAATATTCAGAAAGGGAAATTTAAAGTATAACACTATTTGTTTTGTTGCTGTTAATGTTGAGTTGTTTTATTAGTTTAACCCCAAGGACATGCACATAGAACAAGCATTCTGAAGGTATTGCATTAGCGATATTAGTTCCTACCTTCTAGTTTAAAGTGGTTCCCATCAAATATAACACAATTCTATTAAAAAAAAGTATTGAAGCGAAGTAAAACACATACCTTTCTTTAAAAGTTGAAAATGTCGTAAATCCCTAAAAAAAATCAAGGAATGGAACAGAATACAAACTTGATTTATAAGTCACCATGGTAATCGAATAAACCAAAAATCAGCTCAGTATCTGCAAATGTTTTGAATATCTTATTCTTACATTTAGGTCGTGGTTATGTTATTTTCACTAGAAAAAAGCGAGTAATAATAAAGGATTAGGTACGGTTTTAGCTTTATTGTGCCCTAAAATTTTATGTTTCCAAAAGGTTTCGAAACTGCCTTAAACATTAGTTAAGTATATGATTGTAATAAATCAGTGAAGAATATTGCATGAAGGGGTACCATTATAAAAATGTGGCTTCATTAATTTGATTCATTTCTCTACGTTAAAAATAAAAGATTTTAAAACGACATAAAGCACTTTAATTTCTGGATATGCTGTGTAAAATTTCTTGAAAAATCACATTTGTCAAAAATTTTGTGGGTGATGCCAGTAGACAATTTCAACTGAAAGAAAATCCATTGAAAATTGATGTCTTCTGCAACTTTAGAAAAAACAAAAACCTTTTATATCATTTTTATTCACCCTTCTTTAAGAACTTCACCTTATTAAAAGGCCAAAACACACCATTATGACGTCAATCTACCTTTTAGTTGCAAAATCGTAAAAAAAATTAGATATGTGAAATTGAAAATAAATTTTTTAACAAGAATTTTTTTTTAAATTTAGTTAATTCCTTTAAATTAAGTGACAAAATGCTTTCAAATAGTTAATACGCTTCATTTTACAATGATGTACGAATATTGCGCAATGAATACCCCATAAATATTTCCTAAAGCCTAATCAAATTTGCCGTAAAACGTTCATAAGTAATCATTATATAAATAATGCAGGAAGTGGAGTGTAACATTGAACTTTTTACCCCAAGAAAACCATTGTCAACCGAAATATTTATACAGGCACATATAACATGAACCGTATGTGCGCATAAATTATGCGCAGCCTCTATTTTTGGAATATCACCCATCGTCAAGGTGTTAATCTGGATGACGTGGCTTCATTATTCAGCAGGTTATAGTGTTTGTTAACAAATGTTTCTCAATAAATCAGATTAAACCAAATTACATGAAATTGATAACATTTCAAAAAACTCTTTCAATCCTCTTGTTCCCTTCATAGTTGGTATTAGATGTTAGTGTTTCCTTTGCTTAATGTTTAAATAAAGAATGATTGCCATAATTAGATTTTCAAATGAACAATATGTAAAAGAAAACAATGAACAATGAGAGCATGATATTTGATATTTTATTCGGTTCTTAATGAAGTTAAATATACATATAAAACGTAAGTTTTATAAAAATATTGTATTTTTAATATGAAACATTGTATCGATTTTTATTTGTTCTATCCCTTCAATTATTTTCACATGGCATAATTATTTTAAAAGAACAGGATATTCCTTACCTAAGTTTATTCAAAATGCATCAACAGACAATGATAATGATAAAATTCTACATTTTTGTCCAACAGGACCCAGGAAAGGATATCCTTTCACAAGGACGCATAATTTGTTAAAAAACATTTATATAAATTCGGAATTTATAGAACATTGCTATGAATAAAAGAATACTATAAAATGTAATAAAAGTGTACATTTTATGAAAATTCTTTATTTGTGATTTTTTATTATAAAGTTCTTTTTTTATTATTCATGAAGGATATGGAGATAACGGAACAGTATTCAAAATCAAACTCCACAGAACAATACAAAATTGGAGCAGAGCAAACGCGGACGGTTCTCCAAAACATCATCAAATTTTCCTCCTTTGAATGCTCTATCTGTAAAGAAAAAAAAAACAATGTCAAAAACGGATCAAGTACAAACCTTTGAAAGCTTCGGATTTCAGATTATTAAACAAAGCAATTTAAAGAGCCCGGATGTTGACCTAATTTTAATGACGTCTGATCATCATCTTGGTCTCTCTGACGTCCGCCCCTCTCCGTACAGTTGGATACCACGGCTTCGTCCAGTCTCCTGAGGACCACGGTCCGTTAAGGTAGGCGTCGTGACACCTGTTATACCACCAGCCACCTCCTCCTCCGTAATCCACAGCGCAGCTCCCTCCAGACACGTCGTTATCTCTGTCCAGGGTGGAGAAGGACATCCCAGACAGATCAAAGTAGGGACTCCCCGTGTCTGACATGCTGTCCCCTGGAGGATAAAAAACTGACCCAGCTCAAGGCGTTTCATTAAATTCTTTAAAATTATTAAAATAATACATACATATTACTCAACACAAGGTATTAAATCAGATACATGAACTTCGTTAAAATATGAATAATATATTTTATTATACTTCTGTTAAAATGTTTCTTATATAAAGTTCAGAAGGTAAAATAACTATTATCAATAGTCTGAAAATTTCCCCGCATAGAAACTATACAAAAAAGGATAGTTTTTTGCTACACCCCTCGGAAAATGTTGGAAATGTAATTTTTGACGCCAATTTTAATTTCCAGCTATATAAACGACTTGACATTGATTTTTATTTTCTGTGTCAAATGACTTCAGTAGCATTGTGACGTCATCATGATTTCAGCTCATACTTGCGGTATTATCTAACTCCAAAGAAAATTTGAACCTTAGAAATTATAATATACATCAGTATAATAAAACACTTATCCACTGGTTGTAAATGGGATAAAATTGATACGACCGGTAAGGTTTATTCATTTAAAACCCTTAATAAAATGACAGGTACTAACTATCCCCTCATATAATAAAACAATTATTGCTGGTTTTATCAGTTCAAGGCGTTACATTAAATTCTTATGAATTATTTAAATAATACATACATATTACTCAATACAAGGTATTCAATCAGATACATGAACTTCGTTTTGATATAAATAATATATAATATACCGTATAAATGTCAAACTACTAACATAAACTCAGAAATGATTCAAATGAACTATACACACTAAAGACAAACAAGTTATGTAAACTTTGATAAAGTATTATATCACATGTTATGTAGATTATCGTTAAAATAATCGAGTTACTCTATTGATATTCGTTGTCAAATCTATTTCTTAAACTCGATTTCACTCAAGTAGAAACTCCAAGTGTCTGACGATACGCTTATTTGGCCTAACTACACTAAGTAGAAGTAAATAATATAATGGTTTTATGGTGAAGAACAAGATGTGTACAGAACAAATTGGCTTTTAGGAATCATTAAAAACGACGAATGAATTTCACAAATATAAGAGTCGTAGCATTATATATATTACACTATTTTTCTTTTTGCAATGCAATAATCGATATTCTCAGAACATATTACTACAATGTATTTATATCATTTTTATGCGCCCGGATCGAAAGATCCGAGGCGTATATTGTTTTTGTCCTGTCTGTCTGTTTGTCTGCAAACTTCACCATAACTTTTGAACCATGAATAGTTGAGACTTAATATCTGGTGTGCATACTTTATTAACTAATTTCTTTCAAATGACATGAAAGTCAATGACCTTGTGACCTTGACTGTGACTCATATGCTAAACTATTTTTTTTGTGCAAACTTTAACCTTCGTCATAACTTTTGAACCATAAAAGATAGAGACTTCATACTTGGTATGTATACACCACTGAATAAGCTTTTTAAATGACACCATAGTCAATGACCTTGTGACCTTGACTGTGACCTATACGCTAAATATGGCTTTTTTGTCGGCAAACTTGAACCTTCACCATAACGAAGAAAGATAAAGACTTAATATTTGGTATGTATTCTCCACTTAATGAGCCCTTCCAGA